AAAAAAAAAAAAAAAAAAAAGAAAGAAAGAAAGAAAAGAAAAAAAGCAAGAGGAAGAAAAATCCTCCGTACTAACCCTTTTTCATTTTATAAATGTATTAATCCGTGGGTACTGCCTTAAAGATGCAGTACCTTTCTGGCATTGTTTAGTCTTTTTACTGCAGACTATTTAAAGAAATACTATATTCTGTAAAAGACACAAAAAAAAAAAAAAAGAAAGAAAGAAAGAAAACAAACAAAACTTCAGCCTTTTCATGAGGATTGTCTGGTTAGAAATTGTAACTGGTACCACAGTTGAAGGGGGTCAGACCCAGGCTCTGAAAGCAGAGCCCAATCTTTCTCTACTTCACCTTGCACTGTTACAGGTTTCTTCATCGACAAGTGGGATTCAGTTTTTCATAAGATGTATTTGATTTTGAAATGGAAGCAGGTGTCCTCTCCAAACATTGAGGAGCACTGGAAGTTTGTTTTGCCTTTTTTTTTTTTTTTTAATTTCTGCTTTTGATAAGAAAGCCAAACTAGGCATATTTCTAATTGGCTTTACTGTTTTTATTTTTAAATTATGTGTTTTACTGTTCATTTGATTTGTACAGATTCTTTAATATCATCATTCTTTTCGATATGTTTGTATTAATTTGTAACAATATGCATCTTAAAATGGCAAGTTTTCGATATTTTTACAACTCACCAGTGGTTTTCTGCATTCTTTGTACACCCATGAAAGAAAACTTTTATGCAAGGTCTTGTGTTTAAAGAGAGCTTTGCGAATATTTTGTATATTACAGTCTCACTTGGAACTGTTTTTCAACACACTTAAGGCATAGCATTAATAGGTTAAAACCAGGCTTTCTAGAAAGAATAAACTTACATATTTATTTTTAGGATGTAAAAGTAGCAATATTCTTGGAAACTGATAACATTAATGTGTCCATGATGGTCATTTAAATTGGGGTTTATTTCAGCACACTTGCTGAATATTTTTCTTTAAAGAGAGAAATACTGTATTTGGCAAATTACTGTTACTTGATAACCATGTTTTAACAAGCAGCAATGTTGTGAAGTTAGTTTCAGTGCATTATCTACTTGGGTAGTCTATGCAATAATGTAGTGTTACATGTATCATGCCTAGATGTTTTATACAGATGCCATATAGTGTTATGAGCCAGGCTGTTGAATGGAATTTCTCAGTAGCAGCCTACCATTGAATAGCAAGTGGCATAAAGCTTATCCATTCAGAATGAAGTGCCTTACATATAGCAGTAGTCTTTGGACAAGCACTGACTGAACTGTAATGTGGGAGAAAGTTTCCAGACGGTATCTATACTCAAGAGATCATGTAGCATGGTGCCTATGTAGACAATATAAGAGCTTCCAATTTTCCTTCAGATATTTTTAATATTAAATATATTTTAGTGACAGAGTGCCAACTTCTTTCATCAGGAAACCTTATTCAGGAGGGTTTTTTTTTTTTTTTTTTTTAAAAAAGTGTTTAAATGTCAAACGTGAATTGATGATGGGTGGTGACGGGTTCAGAGAGAAGGAGTGATTGTCAATGTGTGAATGGGTGGTTTAGGTGAAAATAATCAACTGCGTAGTTCCCATGCACATTGGGCAATGAGAATCCTTGGAAATACCGATGATGCTATCAGTTTTATAGCTTTATTACTTAAGGGGGTAGGGAAAATTAGTTCCCATTCTTTCAACCTCCTTAATTGTATAGCTCTTTTCCTAGAATAGTGATGCAAATCTGCATGAACAGTTAATTGTACCATAGTGTTCATTGATACAATCATAGCATTGTCTATTTCTCTCTTCATATTTATGGGAGGGAGGGGGATGGATTCGAAAGTCGAAGATTGTGATGCTATAACGCTAGTTTTCCTCATCTGATTTTGAGAGTTTTTAAACAATAGAGCAAGGTCGACTGACCCACGGCCAAGGGAATGTGGCCTCAGTTAACCTATACAGAGCTTTGTTGAGAGAAAGTCTGGCATCTTGCACCACTGCCCTGAGTCTTGCAACTCCTGAATTTGCCCCTGCCTGCTTCCCCATCCCCTTCTTCTTAAGAGACAATTTCTGAAAGTGGCAGGTAAGCAAGACCAGGAGAATGCTACAACCTTGGGGGTGGTTTTATTTATTTCTTTTTTGCCAAATAGAGTGTGGAATCATTTTAGGGACTAGTTAAGCCAAGAGGCAGTGGTTTGGGCTTCTTGTTTGTAAGAAGAGAGTGATCCACACCGCTCCCCCCATCCCTGGGTGCAGAATTGTGACTCAGGGTTGGGTCTCCATATGGAATGACCAAAATGCCAGAATTGTCCACCTGCCTCTGGGTAGGGCAATTGAAATACCAAACCTTCTGACTTTGCCAAAAACCATACAACCAACCTGGTCCTACACAGGATGACGAAGTTCTTTCTGGTTGTTTTTAAACAATAAAGCAATAAGAACACATAAAATACATAGGAAGTTAAAAGGTATAAAGTAAAGCACAAAGGATGCACTTATTAATATTTTTGAAAAATGCACTGGGTAAAAGTTGATGTTGATAACAGTATAAAAAATCCCTATTTCTTGATAAAAATGACAAATGACTGTCTCTTGCGGACGCTTGGTACTGTAATGTTAATAATAGTCACCTGCTGTTGGATGCAGCAATAATTTCTGTGTGGTCCATAGCACTGTATATTATGGACCGATATTAATGTATCCGATGAAATAATTGAATTGTTGTTCTTGATAGCCTCATTAAAGCATTTGGTTTTTCACATAGTGGTGGCCAGTTGTGTTCAGTTCATGCCAATTTTGAATGTTATTTGCCTTATCAAAAAATGATAGTGCACATTTTCTTCTGACTTAATGAATAACAAATCGCATGAAAATTTTAAAAATGCCAGTAAGTACCTTTTTTTGTTTTAAATGCCACTCTAAGATGTTACTTTTTCGTTTTAAACATTTTTTTTTATTACACTATGACTTGCACTTAGATGAACTATAATTATGCAGCTTTTTTTTTTCCCCTCTGAATTTGGGGAGATTTTAAACTCCCAAATGCCAAGACTTCATTTTAGATATAGGAGTTTTATTTAAAATGTTTCAGTGAGAGGTGGCTTTACAAAAAGAGAAATTGTCAGAGAAACCCTTGCATATTTACAGAAAAGATATTGGGTTTTAAAATACAAATTTACAATAATGAAAGCTTAATATACCCAGGCTGCCAGCTCCTGCCTGTTTTTTTCTTTTTAATACAGTACTTAAGAATCATTTGATAAATGTTGGATTTGAATTGGAAAGTGTCAGACAAAACATGTCTTTATTCCCTAGCTAGACCTTAAACTTCTGCCCTTTAAAAAAAAAATCCTAGTTTAACCTCTGGAGAAAATGAGCAAGAAACTTCCAGTAACACTTCTGATCTGACTGTCAGCTTTTTCTTAAGTTTAACTTTTTTCTCAAATTGTAATATACAATAATCGAGACCTTTCTTTTTCAGTTATTTGAATTATTTATATTTCCGCTAGAAAATAGACCGTGTGATGTCTTAGAAATGTGTAAAAGTAGAAAGATGTCCTATGTGAATGAGAGAATTGTCTGGGTGAAATCAAAAGCAGGTAAGTTGAAAACTGGAACTTTTCATCTGTGGAGGGATTCTGCAGGGCGCTCACCACCTTCACCCGAGTTTTTGTCCTGTTATTTGCCTAATAACAGTCACTTCACAACCCTCGGATCCTTAAGGTCACACACACAATTGTGTGTTACAGCAACATTACCTGAAGATTAGACATTTTGCCTATAGCTTGTATGAGTTTATATCCACAGACTTACATTTAAAAAGAAAAATTTTTAAGCCAATTCACTTTCAAAAAATTGTACCGATAAAAATGACAAAGCATGGTTTCTTCACTAAACTTCCTAGGTCTGAATCTTATCTCTGCCCATTTGCAGGTAGGTGATTTTGAGCAAGTTCCTCAGCCTCCACGGGCCTCAAGAGTAGCTACACACTGGTCTTGTGAAGACCATTCAAATGAATATACTAGAATTTTTGCTTTGTAGCACAGGGCAAGTGCTCAGGAAATTGTAGCTGTTTTTCAATTACCATTGCCATTGCATTCATTGTTAAAATAGAAAGTAATGCCAGGGCCATCTGAAATCATCATTTGCATCAGCAGTGCCACGCTCACCTTATTGGGCAAAAAGCCGTGTTAACCTTATACCATAGGTCTAAGATTTGTGTGAGGTGATAAGGTGGCCAGAGCCACAGGCTACTGTGGAGAAAGGAAGCTTTCTCCCTATAAGACTTGGGGTTAGGATATTTTTAAGAATTAATAATAAGCCCAGTTTATCACATTGAAAAAGATCTTTAGCACAAATGACTCAAAGTTGTATTAAACCTGTATACTCTGTATATATGTGCTTCTGCCATGTGAATAATTACACTATTTCCAGAAATATGCTTTGCTGAATCTTGAATGGCTATTATATTCCCCAGAGAGTTAAACTTTTTAATCCTTTGTGATATACACTGATGTTGGGCAGCTGAGAGCGGCATCGGAACTATATCCTGTCTTCAGTTTCCTATCAATATTGAAATGTTTTTCGGGGTTTTATTTTCAATTGTACTCGCATTTGATGACTTCCTTGGAACAGCATCTGAGAAGTTAATCTTCATAATCCAGCCAACATAAATGAACTGCTAGAATTACCCTGTTTTTATTTTTTTGTGTATGCCAAGATTTAATGCATAGCCAAGTAACATGAGGAGAGCTCATTTAAGAGGAGTGGTGTACAGTTAGATTTTCATTACATTTAGAGAGAAGTGGTGATGATCTCTTAATTCTTTGCTGCCACATC